GCCAGACCCTTCGAACAGTTTGTCCCTGGTGTATTCAGATTTTCTCATCTTAAGGTTCACTAAATACGGGCACGAATCGGAATCTCTGCTTTTAGTTGGCAACAGGTAGTCTTTCCTACATCCCCTCTACGGGATCTCGTCCCGTCGAAGCTGAGGTTCGATTGGTCCAAGGAGAAGACCCAATCCTGCAGCCTGATCAGCGCACGGTGCTGAGTGCTTACGAGAAACTGCCTTGCCTTTTTGCTGGGGTCCCTACCTGGAAAATCCGGTCATAAGCCCCCCTAAGAGGAGTCGACCTTGATTTACTGGCTATAATTCAGGTGCCTGACTACTTGCTAACCTGTCCGAATATCCAACCATATTTCTATTTTCAGCCCCTCCTAAACCGGGGTCCCTTCATGGATACATCTGTGCTTGTTGAGGCACCACCTTTACCAGCTGTTTTGTTTGAGGATGACGTTGCAAAGCAGGTGGTTTTGGGACGTATCCTGCACACATCCCTCTTAAACATCACACACAGGGGACACTTTTGGAAGACTTTCCGTTTCCTTGTAGCAGTTTCAGATGGATCCTCGTGTTCCGACGAATTGGCAAAAGTGTGGAGGCTTCGCGTAGGATCATTTTGCTCCGCCGGGGTTTGTGTGCACCCGTGGCGGCCCCGCTCTGATTTGGCGCCCTTGCAGCTCAGCAAGCGTTGGAGGCCTTTGACAAGACAGAGGGAAACACGATGTTGCAGGGTGTTTCCTGTGTAGGCAAGGCTTTGACCAAACAACAAGGTAGATATAGGATTGGCATCTGCTTTCCTTCTGAATGGGCAACTGTCCAAGGGCCCAAGAATGAACACCTTGGCCCAGGCTTTTGCATTTCCCGGCCACTTGGGGCGAGGGCCGGCCAGCCCTCACGACGCAGGCCTCTCAGCTGCAGCAGGCGATGAAGCCTTTGCCAGCGGATCAGGCGGGGAAGGGCTCCAGAGTCTCGAATCACTCCGTGAGTTGGACTTGAGCCGGTTTTTAGGGGGTTTTAGCGGGTTTTTTTATGGTTTTTACGGGTTTTTACGGGCTTTTTATGGTTTTTAGGGTTCGCAGGGGTCGTATGGTTTGTAGGGTTGCTAGGGCAAGCAGGTTTCTCACTCCCTGAGCTCCCGGACTTCACACCTAAAGCTTGGAGTGGCCCATCTCGGTCGGTGAGAGGAAGAACTTTGTGTGGCCAGTCCGCCCAGCAGCTGCATTTCTTAATGTTAAGGTTGTCAAGGTATGAAGCAGAATCGAACACCTTGTCTTGGTACACGCTGGAGTTGGGCAAACGAAGAACCGAAGAAACTGCTTTCTGTGGCCTTTTCAGGTTGCCCACTTCAGCCCGATCGATTCGGTACGTCAGGTAAGTGATTGGTAAGCCTGGTTCCAAGCCTCTTAAGCCACGGTTATAAGTCGAAGCTTGGGGCATTGTACGTCAGTAAGTGGGTAGTAACCATGGTTATAACCCACAAAACCCTCCGGTTATAAGTCTCCTAAGCGGCTAGAACCAGTTGCTTGCTCTCACTTGCCGGACGTACCCGATCGCCTCGATCGCCTCGATCGCCTCGATCGCCTCGATCGCCTCGATGGCACTGAGGTCCTGGCACTGGCGGACCAGAATGGAGATGGGGCCTGGCTCAAAGAGAGCCATCGGGTAACGGGCGGATCGCGGAGAGCGGGGAGATCCCAGGCTCACGGTGGATGCCCCCACCATATCGCAAGTAAACCAATCTTTCCCCAGAAAGTCATGGGGGAATTTGGGGTTGAACAAGAGGGGTTCCTTGTTACCTGCTGCATTGCGATGTGTTAGGCATCCACTCCTTTTGGAGGTTTTAAGCATCACCTTTTAGGGTCTCAAGTGAGTTTGTTTGTTTGGCAGGGTGATGTTTATATTGGGAGGCCTGCGTGAGAGCCGTTCGGCTCTGAATCAGACTGGAAGCATCCAAAACCCTCATTGGAACCATTTAGGTCGTACTGGCTTGATTTTCCAAAACCAGCAAGGCATACTGAGGCATACTGCGATGGTTGCAAAAAATCCGTGTTGTACCACCGTTCAGAAGCCGTGGAATGATTCGATTCCCCTATTAGATACCAACCAACGCTAGGGTTTCAACCATGTTTCCAAAGTTGCGAACAGATTTCACCACCATCCAGTATCAAGTCCTTTAAAGTAGCAAGGCTTGGTTTTCCAGCAGCGCGGCGTGCTTGAAGCAACAGAGGGGCAATGCCTGGTATTTAGGACTCCGCTCACGCATGTCAAAACCGTAAACCCCAGGGGTTCGAAGCCCATAAGAAGAATGGCAGTACACAATTTGGATGATGACAACCCTGCACAGTAAATCATGGATGGTGTTCGTCAATTTGTGTGAAGCCCCCATGCAATTTTATGGTGGTGAGTTATGTGAACCCAACCATTGTTTTAATGTTTGTATCGGAACCCCATGTTTTAATTGATAGTGTAACAGAACCCCAATATCCTCTACTCCTTCAATGGATGCCAAAAAGCATCGCTGTGAGCTTGGGCAACGGGAGCTTGAGCTGATGGCAGGGCTGGGTATTCAACGATGCGACAGTTCTGCATGCATGTGTGTAATTCAGCTTCTCCAATCTCATTTGGAACAGGCTGTATGCGTAGTTCAGCTTCTGCAACCTCATTTGGTGTGGCGCTGAAGTGTCATCCTGTCCGGATGCCTGGAGGCTGAGGATGAAAGTAGGCCGTGGTGGAATCCTTCTCGCTCCTCATTACTTGATGTCTGCCCTAGTATGTTTTGGTTGCCCCTGAATATCAGTGAGCGCCTTTTTCGTTGCCTTGCTGGGTCAAGACTGTCTGGACGCAACGGCGGAGAGAGCGAGAGAGAACGGAAACCCGGGGTATTTCATGCTCATTCTCCCCCCCCCACCCCACCCACAAAAAGAAGAAACACACGCGTTGGAGACATCAGGGTGTTGCCGCCAGATGGGGGCGGCCGGGTGCGGCGGAGTCTGTTTGTTTTGGTCTTGAGGCGGTGGACCGAGAGGAGTGGAACGCAGCGGCTGGCCACGCTGGAGGCGCGCGCTTAGCCTTGACAAACAAAGCAACAGAGAAAAAATGGCAGAAGGCAGGAGGGAAAGAAGGACGGAGCCAAGGAAGGAAGGAAGGAAAGGAAGGAAGGAAGGAGGGAAAAAACTCGTTGTAACCAAGCCACTCAGCAGGACCCTTGACCTGAGCAGTCTGGAGGGTTTCTCAAAAGTGCTTTTCGGAGGTGGTGCTCTGAAAACCACTCCACGGGATTGAGCTGAGCCCACGGTTTCTTCAGCCCAAAAACGCATGCTGACATCAGCTCAGGCAACAGCCCCTTCCAGCGCGCCATTATCGAGCCCCAGTCGGAATTCGTGGCGCCGGCTCGCTTGAGTTTTTTTTCCGGGCGAGTGCCTGGAGATTTGGTAGATATGTGAGCGGGGATCATTGGGATCCCCCCGGTCCCCCCACCCCCCCAATGGCTGTGAAATGGTTCGCTCAGCGACCTTCTTTGAGCTGTTCTGCTTAAGGTCCCGAATTGCCTTGTGATGTAATTGGACCCTCTTTTGGCCCGAGCCACCTTTGGCAAGCCCCTTTTGTTCTGGATACTAGCTTTTGTGCAGCAAAAAGAACCTCATATTCTTGACCAAGGTTCCAAACAAAAAAAGGAAAACCTTTTGTTCCCACGTTTGGCCGCATCCAGTTTCCGAAGTCTACCGCGCTGGCCAGGCATTTAAGTCCATGGACGTGAACCGGGACCGAGGGCGACAGGGCGAGGGCGAGAGGCTGTCTTAAAGGGCAAGCACCCCGGTTCCAAACTTGACGTCTACAAAGTCGGGCAATTTAACCTTGGTTTATACATCCACCAAGTTGGATGAATTTAATGCCCCTTTTAAGCCACCAAAAGAGGTGTACCCTCAAGAAGTGATTAAACACATGCCCAATGAATGTTGACCCGGATTGTGAACCAGTCCTATTATTTGGGGGGGTTCCTCCAAAACTGGTCTGAAGCCCGCTGAAAGGGGACACCTCCCCCCATCAAAATCAACAAGTCTATTAATACGAGGTTACTTTAACCATCTATTTACATCTATTGTCTCGACCACTGTCTAATCTGTAAACCCTGTTAATCCATAGGTTACATCTACATTGGGGTCGCCTGACGTGCGCTATTTGAATTTGGCAGTTCAAGCCACTTCAGCCACTTCAAGTGGATCCAAGTGGCTCCAAGTGGCGCGTGCCGCTTCAAGTGGCTCTAAGTGGCTCCAAGTGGCACGCGCCGCTTCAAGTGGCTCCAAGTGGCTCCATGTGGCTCCAAGTGGTGCATGCCGCTTCAAGTGGCTCTAAGTGGCTCCAAGTGGCATGTGCCGCTTCAAGTGGCTCCAAGTGGCTCCAAGTGGCACGTTCTGTTTCAAGTGGCTCCAAGTGGCTCCAAATGGCTCCAAGTGGCTCTTGTCCAAGCGGCACGCGCCTTTCAATTTGCTCCAAGTATCCTACGGCTCTTCAAGTGGATCCAAGTAGACATGACGTAAAGGGCCCCCTTCCTAACAGGGTCCTCCCCCAAAGGCCCCAGCTGCAGAGTCGTTTCGGAAGACGTCCAAAAGTGTCCGATTCTGTTTTTTTGAGAGTTGGCGTGCCCACTTTCACTGGTCATTCACGCTCAAATGGAACTGTGTCGCGTGGAAATGGGGTCGCTTCACGCTTTGTCACGCTCCAATTTTTGAACGGACGGTGTTGCACTTCAGGCCTTGTCATGATAACACAGCCTTATCAAACACCCACAAACACTCTTCATGAACAGCAAGTACAGTTATAGGGACGAGCCGGCTCAAGGAGACTTTCCATACAGCCCCAAGCTTATGCAACCGTTGAGGGTCTCTGATGGACAACCCTACTTCTTTCGACAGACCCCGCTAGGAAGGGTCGTTCGAGGTTTCGAGATATGAATAGAGGGATATACATCCAACTGCATGTGCTGGGCACAACAGTCGCCCACTCAGCCCATGGCGTCCGCGCCCTCCGGCCGTGGCTGGCCGTGTCGGGGCGAATGCGGCGGGAAGCTCTCAGGCCGAGGCGGGGTCGCGAAGTGGATACTCATACCTAGTAAATGGGGAGCACTCACGGCTATACCCGCCTAGCGGGGCTGCAAGTAGCTCCTGCCATTTGGGCTGCCTGAGGTTAGCAAGTCGGCTCACTTACCAAGTAGCCTGCTTCTTCAAGAAGGGGTCAAGTCTGTGGCAAAGAGCAAGCTGTCTCCAACTTCCTGCAAAATGCCACTAAACGAACCTGCTTGTTGTTTGGGCGCTGCCTGTGATAGCTGCAGGGTAGGCTGTTGAGATTGCAGATAGTGTCGTCACTGGAGACAATGAGCCGTATCAAAAAGGAATATCTCCTGGTCGCTCTGCCATGACTGTTTGGTCTGTTTGGTCCTTTCTGTGAGCGCTTGGCTGTTTTCCTGCTGTGTTCATGCGAGCCGTTTGACCTGACAGCAGCCCTCGAGCACTCAAGTGATTCCAAGTCTCTGCAGACCACTGACCCAGAGAAGAAAGTGGCTAACTGCAGCACGTTGGCCATTACAACAAGCTGGCACCGGAGACTACCGACGGGTGCCTCCTGAATCCACTACCTCATGAAATACCTAGGCGACCTCATGCTGTACGACCTCATGAAGTACCTGCGCAACCTCATGAAGTACCTGTGCGACCTCATGAAGCACCTGTACGACCTTATGCTGTCACCTCGTGGTCTACCTCATGGACTACCACCACAACATCACCTTCTACATCCTCCACCTCATGAAGTACCTGTACGACCTCATGATGTATGACCTCATGAAGTACCTGTACGACCTTATGCTATTCCACTATACCACCTCATGAAGTACCTCTACGACCTCATGCTGCACGACCTCATGAAGCACCTGTACGACCTCATGCTGTACCACCTCATGGTCTGCCTCATGGACTACCACCACAACATCACCTTCTACATCCCCACATCCACTTCCTCATGAAGTACCTGTACGACCTCATGATGTATGACCTCATGAAGTACCTGTACGACCTTATGCTATACCATTTCATGAAGTACCTGTACGACCGACCTCATGAAGTACCTGTACGACCTCATGCATCTGCTGCTGCATTCCCTCGGGGCGCAAATGGGCGCAAACAAAAAAGCCGAGTTTTTGGAGTTCGTCGTAAAACTCGGTTTTTTTATTTGCTGCTTCGGCAGCAGCCTTGACGCCTAGTTTCCCCGTCCCCGCGAAACCTAACTACGAGCCCAGGACCTATCCACGCTTGTACTTTCCACTCATTTTCGCAGACTTCGAGCCGCACGGGGAGGTCAAACATCGCTGAGCAATTTCCCGGACCTATCCACGCTTGTGCTTTCCACTCAGTTTCACAGATTTCGAGCCGCACGGGGAGGTCGATGTCGTTGTCGTTGTCGTTCTTGTTGTGCTGCTGCTGCTGCTGAGCCAGCAACTGCCTGTCGAAAAGGGGATACGTGATGCGGCTCCCACAGGCTCACCGCCTGTGCAACCGGACGGGCAGGCTGGCTGTTGTTGCTGTTGTTGTTTTGTCTGGCCGGCAGCTGCCTGTCGAAAAGGGGATACGTGATGCAGTTCCCACAGGCTCACCGCCTGTGCAACCGGACGGGCAGGCTGGCTTCGTCCGTCTGGTGATTCTTGTCGATGGTGTTGCTGTTGTTGTTGCTGTTGCTGTGTCCCATTGGGCGCAAAATGGCGCAAAATGGCGGGCTGCCAGTAGCCGCCTTTCTGGCTGTATCGCACGCGCCTGCCTCTTCCCAAGGCTTGTGCTCACCCCATACCTGGCCGCGCCTAAAAACAAATTGTTTCGGCCCGAAAAATCGTTTTTGCGTCGTCTCTGGCTGCCTCGCTCGCGCCCGCCTCTTCACCCCAAGCCTGGCGGTGTCAAAAAAGAATTCGTTTTGCGCGACAGGTCCGAGATTCGAGCCTCCAAATTTTCCCGCGGGACAAAGCTGAGTCCGACGCATTCGCCGCTGAACCAAGGCCGGCTTGCTCACAAGCGGGGCTGAAAGCCGCCTTTTCCCGTCTGGCCGCTCGGTCTTCAAAATCCGGCTGGGCCAAAAACAATTTATTTCGCCCCGAAAAAATGTTTTTCCGGGGGGTCAGCTCCAGGTTGCCCTGGCAGCCCGCCTAGGCTGCCCAAGCCCGAGGGTGTGGTCTATCCACGACTGCCTTTCCAAGTTCAATGTGTGTCTTGTCACCCATTACCGTTTCAAACCTATCCATGCACGGCTTCGTCTTGCTGTCCACCCACGACGTTCTATTTGCACTTTCCCGTCCTCACATGGAAGTGCGAATCCAGGTGCAAATCTCATCAGTTTAGGTGCAAATCTCATCAGTTTAGGTGCAAATCTCATCAGTTTAGGTGCAAAAAACAAGAGATGCAATCTCATTAGTTTAGGTGCAAATCCCATCAGTTTAGGTGCAGGGGCTCTCAGACCAAATCTCAAAGATGTCCAGAATCCCTTTTTTCAAAGCCCTGCAAGACCTTTGGGCAAAGACGTCCAGAAAAGGGCAAATCCCATCACCTTTGGGCAAAGACGTCCAGAATCCCTTGTTTCAAAGCCCTGGAAGGGCAAATCCCATCACCTTTGGGCAAGGACTAGACGTCTCCTTTTCAGAGCCCCTTGAGGGGGCAAATCCAGGTCTGGGCCATTTCTGTCTCGAATTGAAGCTCAGAAGCTCTAGAAGCGATGGCGTCTTCTCCGGACCATTACCGTTTCAAACCTATCCATGCACGGCTTCGTCTTGCTGTCCACCCACGACGTTCTATTTGCACTTTCCCGTCCTCACGTGGAAGTGCGAATCCAGGTGCAAATCTCATCAGTTTAGGTGCAAATCTCATCAGTTTAGGTGCAAATCTCATCAGTTTAGGTGCAAATCCCATCAGTTTAGGTGCAGGGGCCCTCAGACCAAATCCCAAAGATGTCCAGAATCCCTTTTTTCAAAGCCCTGCAAGACCTTTGGGCAAAGACGTCCAGAATCCCTTGTTTCAAAGGCCTGGAATGGCAAATCCCATCACCTTTGGGCAAAGACGTCCAGAATCCCTTGTTTCAAAGCCATCACCTTTGGGCAAGGACTAGACGTCTCCTTTTCAGAGCCCCTTGAGGGGGCAAATCCAGGTCTGGGCCATTTCTGTCTCGAATTGAAGTTCAGAAGCTCTAGAAGCGATGGCGTCTTCTCCGGAGACCTCTCTACGCAAGCGAGCGGCAGCAGCAACGCTCGAAGAGCTGGAGTTGCAGGCCAGCTTCTGGAATAGCTGACAATAGAACCCGGTTGCTGTAGGGTGCCCTAGATTCCAAATGCATTTTTGCGTTGCGGGGGGGTTTTGTTCGCCGGGACAGTAGAGTTGCCTCGGTGATAGATCTTGATCTGCTCGGGCAGATTCTTCCTTATGAGGCGCGCAGTTGAACTTATTTGGTTGGCTGCGGTGAGACGGCAGGTCATCCGCAATGCAGAGGGTGTTTAGGGTTTTTGCGGGGCTGAAAGACAAAGCCCCAGAAGCGGCAGCCACAGCAGAGGCGCGCAGTTGAACTTGTTTGGTTTTGCGGAGCTGAAGGACAAAGCCCCAGAAGTGGCAGCCGCAGCAGAGGCGCGCAGTTCAACTTGTTTGGTTGGCTGCGGTGAGACGGCAGGTCATCCGCAATGCAGAGGGTGTTTAGGGTTTTTGCGGGGCTGAAGGACAAAGCCCCAGAAGCGGCAGCCACCGCAGAGGCGCGCAGTTGAACTTGTTTTGTTGGCTGCGGTGAGATGGCAGGTCATCCGCAGTTGCAGCATGTTGCAGAGGGTTTTAGGGCTTTGCGGAGCTGAAGGACAAAGCCCCAGAAGTGCATGCCCCCGCAGAGGCGCGCGGTTGAACTTGTTTGGTTGGCGTCGTTGCTGCGGAGCATTCCATTCTGAGACAGGCCTCCTTGCGCAAACTGTCCTTGCAGCAGTTGAGAGAGATGGCCACGAAGATGAAGGTTTCTAAGAAAGGCACCAAAAGCGAGATCAGGGCAAGGCTCCAGGCGCAGCTTGCGTTGAGTTGCGCGTTGGTTTGAGAGGGTGCTTTGCAGTGTTTTGTGTTGCGAATCTGGTGTCCGCAGTTGCGCTGAGGCTGCTTCTTTTAGTCACACACACACTCGCTGGAGGCAAGGCAGACCCAGGCCTGCTCGACCAAGGGGGCAGGAGCTGCACCTGCGTTGGCGGTGCCTTGGCATTAGCGATAGCCAGTCAACAATGCCTTGTGCCGGTCCTAAGGACGAGCGACGGGGAGCGCAGGCAATTGCTCATGTGGAGGCGCGGGTGTGTCACAATGGAGGGGTGGGCCTCCATCCAATCTCCAAACTGCGCGCCCGTTCTAGGCTGAAGAAGTGGACGGCCATATCGCCGAAAGCCAGGTGGATAAAGAAGCTCCAGTTGACCTCACGTCGCCAGCTGGCTGGTCTCAAGAAGGCCCAGTGAGCCGTGCGACCCGAAACTTGCAAGTGCAAGTCAGCAAGCTGGAGCCCAGCAAGCGTGGTGGGCGCAGAGCAAAGATGGCTGATAAGCCAAAGCCGAAGAAGCGAGCTGAGCCTGTGTGTCTGGACGACAGCGACTTCGGTGGGCGCAGAGCAAAGATGGCTGATAAGCCAAAGCCGAAGAAGCGAGCTGAGCCTGTGTGTCTGGACGACAGCGACTTCGAGATCTCGCGCTGCTGGCTGCAGGCCCATGCCAAGAAGTTTGCCCAAGACTTGCATGAGAAAGAGGACTTCACTGGAAACCGCGTCAGCTTTTCCAAGAACTCCTTGCTGGCGTTGCAGATGTCCCTTGAGATGTTTGTTCCTTAGTCCGCAAGCGGATTCAACACGCGGGATGTTGGTGGAAGGGTCAGGTTGGAATTAGCCCCGCAGCCCTCTGCGTTTTGCGTTTGCTGGGTCCCACAATCATGGAAGTGCACACTTTTTCAGTGCGTTGCGTCCAGGTAATCCGCGGGGAACTGGGGGACACTTGAAAAGGGTTTCGTAATCATTGCACCTACATGTGTTTCAGTCTGAGTGCCAACCCACTCCTAATGCGGCAGCTTACACACACTGCAACAGGAAGTTTTCCGCGCCCAAGTGAACACCAATTTTGAAGACTCTCCCACTAACATGTTGAAATTCCAACACTCCACTTTAAGCATAGAATTCTTGCACGGCTTGCGGGGAAGCATCAGGTGATACTGGGTCCGTGGGAGACTTGAGCTGCGAGGAAAGAACTTGTGCCATTTGCGGTGTTGGTGACGGTTGGTGCGCCAAGCGTTTGTGGACACGGCTCGCACAATTTTGAAGCTCGCGACAAGTAGAAGCTAATGTGAAAACACATAGGCATCGCAACATAAACGCGCTTTTTTGCCATGCAGTTTTGTAAATGGGCTAAGTTCTTGGTGTTGCGGGCTAACTTGTGTGCCATGGGGGTTGGCCACGGTGGGCCAAGTTCTTTAGCAATCTGGTAAGTTTCCCGGCGGGTCGTAGATATTGAGGAAATATCATGGTAAGGTTTCAGCAGCCATTTTCTGTTTTTAGTTACGGCAGTAGAGTCCACTTGCTAGCGCGAAAAAATCCAGAGACTAGCGAAAGACTTATAGAGACTGAGGCGCAGGAGTGGATGACAGACTGCGCCCTATTGGCGCAGCACGGAAAGCGCACCACGGTGTGCAAGAGTGATCTCGCGCTCTCCTTGCTGATGCGCAACGAGGGCTGGGTGGGCGGCAAGCACAAGGAAATTCACGAGGAGGTCGAGGCGGCGCGCGCTCAGAACAAGAAGCTGCGGAAAAGCCAGCGTGACTGCGCCTTGCCCAACGCAGATTTTTCTGATGCTTCTTTCATGGGCTCCGCTGTTTACCTGTGTCCGCATGCCTTCCAGCACCGATTTTCATTCTCACGGACCACTCAGCTGCAGTTTTCCCCGGCTTGCCTAGGTGCTGAGGTGAAATTGCCGACGGTCAGGCAGATTGAGAAGATGGTCTTCGGAGATTGAGCCTGCAGCACATGACAGATCGCGTGAGCCCCTGCAATTTTGGTAGTAACTTTCGCATTTTCGAGCAGTGCGCGCCAACCCTGCTGCGTTCAGAGAAGAGGAAAAGAGAGAAAGAGAGAGACAGAGAGAGAGAGAGAGAGCGAGAGAGAGAGAGAGAGAGAGCAAGTGGCGTGGCATGGTGAAGAATTGGAGAGCACAAGGGCATTCTTTCGTGACAGCAAAGGTGTTTGGAATCAACCTGCGTTAAACACCAATTGGGGCAATTTACGGTACCTTTGGCTCCTCACAAGGGAAAGAATGGGAGAGCATGAGGGCATTGTTTCGTCGCAGCAAATGTGTTTGGAACCAACCTATGTTAAACACCAATTGGGGCAATTCGCGGTACTTTTGTCTCCTCACAAGGGAAAGTATTGGAGAGCATGATTGTTTCGTCGCAAAGGTGTTTGGAATCAACCTGCGTTAAACACCAATTGGGGCAATTCACGGTACCTTTGTCTCCTAGAGCACCATGCCTTTTCGGGGGCTGCTTTCAGGTCTGGAAGGCTTGTTTTGCAATGGTCGGGCGTTGCGCTTTTTTGTTCGTGGTTGGAAACGTTCGCGGTCGAGCATTGACACTTTTCCATTCGTCCATTCCTCGCCCAAGCCCCGCCCGCTTCTCCCCAAGACTTGTGCGGCAAAAAAGCTGACAAATGTTCAAAACCTTGCGCTCGCCCTTGCGCATTCTTGCGCCTACCTCGTAAAATGGCACTCTTCCGAGGCGGCTCGTTGTCACGGGCCAGCGTTCCCGCTGCGGAGGCAATGCCAGAGGTAGATGTTGCAGGAGATGAAGGATGAGGCAGCGTCTGACCCAGAGCCAGGCTCCAAGTGATACCAGCCGAGTTGCGCGAGCCCCACATGTTACACGCAGCGTGGTTATCGACAGGAAGGCGTCAGACCTCTGAGCTTCCGTCTTTCAGTCTTTGAGGCCTTCCGAGTTGATGTTGTAGAGCATCTGCCTAGTTCTTCAGGCCGCAAAAAGACAGACAGATGCCTTTGATTGCGAGCGTCCGCCTTACCAATTTAGTTGCAAGCGCGTGCGTGTTTGCATTGCTGCCTGAGCATTCGGTGAGAGTCAGTGGGTTCAGACAAACACTTCCAGACCTTGTTTGGCAAGACGCGGATTTGGTTTGTTTAGATACGGACTCGGCATGTCTTAGCAAAGCCTTTTCTTAACATTGTGTCCGCGGTGGGGGTAGCACTGTTCCACCCGCAGACGCAGACGAATTACGAAGACACATTGCCCCGAAGCAGACTCGAGCCCAACCACATGCCCGAAGACGCGAAGACGAATCCCCCCCCGAAGACGATTTCCCCCCGAAGACGATTTCCCCCCGAAGACGAATTCCCCCCGAAGACGAATTCCCCCCCGAAGACGAAAGATGGCAGGTACGCAGACAACAGGCGCTTCACCGTAGCTGCGCTTTCATACAAAGGGTAGATTTTAAGCTGTCTCCTGCGACTCCAAGGCTCCGCCCAGTCACCTCCCTCGCCCTTGCCCTAGTTTGTTTTAGGCAGGCGCAGTGCTACTTGCAGTGCAGCTCGTTGCACTCACAGGCCGGACAGTCCGTGAATCCTTCTGTTGAAGCATCTTGTAGATTGTGCCGGGGGTAGATCCAAAGGCCTTACGGCGAAACTCGAATAGACCAGGGCTTTCACATTTCAAGGAACCCCTGACACGCGAACTCCGAAGTGGCGATTGCTGATCTTCTGCGCGGGGGGGCTGACCACAGTGTCCATCCCCCATTCTAGGAAAATGCATTTAGGGGGGACCTAGGTACCTTATGCATTTTATTTTTATGCATTTTTCTCCCCACGTAGAATCTATAGTGCGCTATCATACGTTATTCGTGAGATTACATGAGATTTGCTTTGCCATCATGTCTGGTCACATGTTGAAACAAGTGTGAGAGCATGTATGTGAGAGCATGTGATCCTTGGCGCCACCCCGGCGCCACCTTTGTTGAAAGTCTAGCATTTTATTGCAGTTCTTTTGCGCGGGCGAAAAAACAGCCGCCTGACTCCTCGTGCATCTCTTTACTTTGTTGGATTCCTTCATCCCGGTGGCGTCTCGAACCCTTTGGTTGCACTTGGGACTAGTGCATCGCTAAGCCATCGCGTTAAGAAAAAGTGCAAATCCGCTTACGCCCAGCGGCCGGAAGCAGATGTCGTGGCGCGGCAGCAGATTTCCAGCCTGAAATCCGCTAGCACGCTGTCAAATCCGCTTACGCCCAGCGGCCGGTAGCCGCCCAGCGGCCGAAAGCCGCTCACGCCAGTTTTGGAAATCTGCTACCGGCCGCTGGGCGTAAGCGGATTTGCCAGCGCGCTAGCGGATTTTTTGCCAGAAATCTGCTGTCGCACCACGAAATCTGCTTGCGGCCGCTGGGCGTAAGCGGATTTGAAGGACTGCGCAGAGCGCTTGCGTGCAGCGGATAGCGAATGCTGAGCGGCTGGGTGTTGAGCGCGGAGGTATTTGCGACCAGGTTCATATGTAAATAGCCATTACTTGAGTCACGCGAGGGCGTGCAAGGGTGTATCACACAGGTGCTCCATTTGTGGTCTTGCCTGGATAACGATACCCAACAACGCTCTCCAAGATGTAGGTCCAAAAACACCTAAGTGGGTCGATGTCAAAAGTAGGCCTTCAGCCCAAGCTGAGCTTTGCAGGCGCACTCATTCCTTCTGCTCTGGCGGTTGAAGGAGGCTTTGTGTCATGTCCTGGCTCCCGGATGTCGAGGGGGGACCTTAAAACTGCAGATGTGCATTTTCCAGGTCCCCCACCCCTTATGCGTAGGGGATCAGTGTCCCAAGCATCAGCTTGCAACTCGGGGGCTGACTGCTGTTGTTTTCCACGTCTGCCACGCAGCCGCCGCTCCTGCCAAGAGAAGCACGTTAGTACCAAAAAGCCCCTGGAGGAAAAGCCATGTCGATGTCCAAGCTTTGCGAGGTGAAGGCCAAGAACGAGTTGGCGATGAGCATAGCTGACGCATCCACGAGAGCCTCGGAATCCCACGTGGATGAGGATGGGATGTCTGATGCCTCAGCTGCTTCTTTGGGAAACACGACCTTGGCCAGCTCAAAGCTGAGCAAGGCCCGCAATGAGAGGGACAGAGGCCCTAAGAGGGCAGCGAAGAGGATCCGAAGAGCCATGATCAAGAAAGGCATGTGTCAGGAGGTTGTGGATGCGATGACGGACCAGGAGGTGCTCAATGCGAGGGAGACCTCACGGCGAACACCGTTTTCAGATCTCCTCGCAGAGCACTTGGGCATGGTCTCGGAGGGCGCCGCGGTCACAATCCAGGAGCGGCTGAGTGCGGCGCTTGCCGTGCCTGCGGGCCTGAAGGATCCGCTTACGGAAGCGGAGTTGAGCCGGGCGCAAGCCTTTGCCAAGCCGGCGGAGGGAATCGGTGGCAGGTGCAAGTTCTGTGGTGTGGTCTGGGACCCCTGCCACGCCCAGGGCAAGAACCACCTCAAGGCGGTCACAGAGCATGCCCTGGGGACACGGCTCTTTGGCCCAGCCTCTTCAGCGAAGAGGCTTGACGCCACTGGGCTCGTGGTTGCCGGGCGAAAGCCGACCAAGCAGGAGGTCCAGCGCTTTTGGGGCGATGTCACGCTGATGCCCGTCGTGTTGTGGGACCGCCTGAACAAGGGGGAAGGCATCCAATTGCGCTGGGGCGGTGCGAAGAGCAAGGTGTGGCAGATCAAGGCCTGGTGTGAGTTTGCGCTTGTCCCAATTGTATGACCTTGTTCTGTCACTTGGGGCTAATCATCAACTAATGCTGTGATAGTGCCCCGCTGTTTCGGTCATGCAAACAAATTGCAGGCTTGCAGCCTTTTCCAAGCCTGTAACTGAGTTCAATCAAAACCGTGATGGAGGCAGCCGTGGCGAACGGGCCCGTGGAGAACACTCTCATCATCCGCTCTGCCGAGTTGGCCGTGGTGAGGTATGACCCGATCAGCGGCAAGTACTCCAACCGGGGAGACTACTCCCGGGACGCGTTTGCGCGATGGGAGGAGTTGGAGCAGGAGCTGGGCGAGATCCAAGACGGCCTCCAGGGCCTTCACTCCCAGGAGCCGTGGTGGCCCGTTCTTGAGATCCATGTGGACGCCGATGGCACCACTGCGGTCATCCTCGTTTGCTACTACCAGCTTCTGGAGGCCATCATGTGGGCTTGGGTCCTGACCTTGGCGCGGTAGATGTCTTCTAATCCTGTTGCTGGTGTGCTTGGCGTTTCGCCGAGCTGCCAGTGACAAGGTTGGCACGCCCATTTCCGTCGCCGCTCAGTGGCCCAGGCTCCAAGTTACAGTTTTGCCCAAGCAGGAAATTGTTTGGGGTAGTTGTTGGCTTCTCGTCAGACAGGTTGCAAAGACCTAGCAGTTTGGGTTAGTTGACAGTTTGACTTACTGCTGCAAGATGTCTAAATCACGGGGCCAGATCTTGCTGGTAGCATCTTGGGGCCTGAGCCTGGCGCGGTGAAGTCATGGCCGGTTTTTTAACCGCGCAAACGTCAGCGCTGCCTCGATAAAAGAAGCGCGAAGTGTCTTCAAAGAGGCTGAGGGGTAGTCATGTGAGGGCCGTCCAAAACCCGCGACTTTACGGTTTAGTAAGGATGTTACTTTTCAAAAAAAGATGCCAAGGCTTGTGCTCACCCCAAACCTAGCCGCGCCCAAAAACAATTTATTTCGGCCCTAAAGATTGTTTTTGCGTCGTCTCTGGCTGCCTCGCTCGCTTCGCCGAGCTGCCAGTGACCAGGTTGGCACGCCCATTTCCGTCACCGATCAGTGGCCCAGGCTCCAGGTTACAGTTTTGCCCAAGCAGGAAATTGTTTGGGGTAGTTGCTGGCTTCTCGTCACACAGGTTGCAAAGACCTAGCGTGCTTGGTGCTTTCGCCGAACTTCAAGTGGCTCCAAGTGGTTCCAAGTGGCTCCAAGTGGCTCCAAGTGGCGCGTGCCGCTTCAAGTGGCTCCAAGTGGCTCCATGTGGCTCCAAGTGGCACGTTCTGTTTCAAGTGGCTCCAGGTGGCTCCAAATAGCTCATGTATGCATGTATGTATGCATGTATGTATGTATGTATGTATGCTAAGTGGCTCTTGCCCAAATTGCAGCTTTCTTTCGTTTGCTTCTTGCGCGTCGCCTGGGAGGGCCAGTCTTGGCACGAGCCAGAAAGCTTGCCTTGCGTGCGTTTCCGCGTGCCACAAGGCCCGGCTGGAGCGCGAGCCTGGCGCAAAGCGGGCGCAAGGAAAACAAAGGCGCCGATGTAGCTCCTGAGCGATGGGCCGTGAGGCTGCCAGTAGCCGCCTTTCTGGCTGTATCGCACGCGCCTGCCTCTTCCCAAGGCTTGTGCTCGCCCCAAACCTAGCCGCGCCCAAAAACAATTTACTTCGGCCCGAAAAATTGTTTTTGCGTCGTCTCTGCCTGCCTCGCTCGCGCCCGACTCTTCACCCCAAGCCTGGCGGTATCAAAAACAGAATTCGTTTTGCGCGACAGGTCCGGGATTCGAGCCTCCAAATTTTCCCGCAAGACAAAGTTGAGTCCGACGCATTTACCGCTGAACCAAGGCCGGCTCGCTCACAAGCGGGGCTGAAGGCCCCCTTTTCCCGTGTGATTGCTTGGGTTGCTTACCACCAGAAGGTTCGTTTGTGTTCTTGTAGTATATTATCAGATCTTTCCTGACGGCGGCATCTCCTTGGGCGCTGGCTCGGGGGCCTTAGGCCACACCTGACAGATCAAGCTGACATCACATTCATGGTTGCGAAGACCTAGCGTGCGTGGTGCTTTCGCCGAGCTGTTAGGCTCTCTTGCTTCCTGCTTGACGTTTGTTGCCATGGGTATCGTTTGTTGGCTTCTTTGGATACTGCCACAAGACGTCTAACATCACCGGATCAGATTCTGGGGGCTCAGATCCTGCAGGCGGCTTTTGCCAGGACGCTGGCTGGCCCAGTTTTTCCATTGCCACGACAACGGCTTGACAGACCGCTGTCCTTATGCAACCTTTCAGGGGCTGCAGGGACAACCCCACTTTTCGGGTCCTTGCATGGCTCTTTTGGCGCTTTCTGAGCAGCCGAGCTTGCTGAATAAATAGCATTTTTGCTGGAATGCAGCTGCTGATGCATTCCCTTGGGGCGCAATTGGGCGTAAACAAAAAAGCCGAGTTTTTGGAGTTCGTCGTAAAACTCGGTTTTTTTAATTTGCTGCCTCGGCAGCAGCCTTGAAGGCCAGTTTCCCCGTCCCCGCGAAACCTAGCTACGAGCTTGTGACGGCTGCAGGGTATCGCTGCAGCGTCCCGTGGGGCGCAAACTGGCGCAAAGTTACGGACAATGAGGACTCGGGAATCCCTGTCAGGACACAGCTTGCGCTTCAGGGTCATACTGCTGCTTGCCGCCTTTCGGGCTCGCAGCTTTTGCGGCTTTGCGTGTCTTTCCGCTTGCCATGTAATTATGTCCGGTGACGCTGGCGTGCCGGTGGATAGCGCCGCCCAGGCTTTGGTCCTCGGCACCGCAGATGAGGACCTGGAGCCTTGTGACGCTGGCGTGCCGGTGCAGAGCACCGCCCAAGCTTTGGTCCTCGGCACTGCAGATGAGGACCTGCAACCTTCACAGCTGACGCAGTCCCAAGGCGTAGGGCCTGTGGAGTCAGATGAGCGCCTGGGGTTTGCCTTTCGGCCCTCGCGAGAGACAGCAGACAGACGGTCTGATCCAGCCCAGTTGATCCTGAGCAAGCTTCAGGAATGCGCCAGTGATGTAGACCTTGGTGCAGTGTCGGAGCCCGTCCAGCTCTTCCTCGAGTGCGAGACGGACCAGAAGCTGTACCAGGCGACGTTCGCAATGCTTGAGCGCGTCACTGCCTCCAAGAATACGTTGGTGGAGGTTGGCGACGACTCCGCGTTCGACATCAACCTCCTGGCTCCGGTGCCGATCATCACAGCGGTGCAGACCATGTGCAAGGCACAGGGCTGGTGGGCCGAGGCAGCCCTGCAAGGCACGGCGCGTTGACGCGCGGCAAATGGCTTAAGATGCGGTGGTGTTCTGACCGCGCGCTTGTCCCTGCATCCCCTATGGGTCGGGTTAATACTGGCGCGCACGCAGCTGCACATCCACGCTGTCCCTGCGACAGGCCTCTTTACTGTCACCGGCTGGCTGGAGCACGTGGACACCAGGATCCAGATCTCGGAGGGTGAGGAGCATGCCAGAACACCCACCTTGGCAGCGTTCTTCGGTTCGCGGGCAAGCAACCGCAAGAGCTCCATGCATAAGTGGCTACTTCAAGAGCTGCTCGACATCGACACGCTGCCGCACGGCGTCAAGGGCTCGGCGGCAATCGCTACCGACGCGACCATCAAAGGTCACCGCAACAACCTGTACAATTACAGACGCTCAGGCCTCTCTTCGACGGAGCTGAGCGAGACCTACAAGACGTCGTGGACCGACCCATCCATCCCGCAAGCCAAGCTGGCGGCCAAGTCTCTCATCAACAAGTTCGTGCACTCAGAGCGCGATGCCTCCCTCACCGGAGCAATGGTGGACGACAACTCCAACTATAGCTTCTATCATTGGATCATCGGACACGTTCAGCCGCTATCGGAGGTTCTGTCTTTGAGGAAGGGGGCCGAAGTCGGCTTCCCGAAACGTTTCCACATCGTCGTGAAGGGCATGAAGCCGGCCACGATACCGGAGCAGGAGTGTCTAGAGTCCAAGCAGTTCCTTGCCGACTTCATTGTCTTCATGGCCGAGAGAGCCACGCAGGGGGATGAGCCCAACAAAGGCGCCACGGTCACGTGCGATGAGTTCGCTGCCGGCTGGCTCAGGCGGGCTTTGCCCGCATGCTTGTGTTTGAGTTT